GAAGGGCCACAAGTGCCCCTGGCCAGATATAAGTAGAATCACTCCCATTTTAGCAAGCAGAAACTTTCTTCAAGCCCCTGAGAGAAAGGCAGCTTTCGTCTAAATGCCCAGCCAAGGGAAAAGAACTTTCTTCAGGGACCAGACACAACATTATAGCACACTGCAAAGTTTTTGTTTGTTTGTTTGTTTTGAATTATTTAGTTTATCCAAGCTAAGGCTTAAAAGACAAAGAAGCTAGACAAGTATTACTGTGAACCTCATTAGACCATGCTTGCCCCGACTTTTTTTTTTTTCCTACGCTTCAATATTTTGGATGAGGCTTGCTGACAGTGGGAGGACAGCCTCCTTTCCTTTCAGCAGCGCGCCCAGAGCCCCTCCATCAGCTATGTATTGTATAGATCTATGAGACATGGTTCATTAAATTCATGTTCATACTCTTCTGGAGGATTGTAGTAAAAATTGTCATTTTGTTTTGTTTTGTATTGTACTTAAACAGGGTTTAGCCCCAGCTGGCCTCACACTCGGAAATCTTTCTGCCTCTGCCTCTAGACTTAAAGGCCTCAGGATTAAAGGCGTGCACCACCGCACCACCACACCTGGTAGCAGGAAGCACTAGCAGTGCAGTCTCTACTCTCAGTTCTACAAAGCAAATATGGAGGCTGAATGGAAGGTTGCCTTAACCTAAGATAATACTGTTACAAAACTGATGGCTAGTGATGCATCTGGAACCGTCTCTGCTCCTAGGAAACAGTGACCTCAGCTCTGCAATGAAACCCATTTTCCGTAAGGCACGTTTGGAGTTCGAGTTGTTTCTCCTCTTTATTAAGTAACTTTTACCTCACGATTATTTTTGAAATGAAATCATTCTGTAATTAGCCATGCAATATTCTGCCCTTAAAAAAAAAAAAACAAAACAAAAATACTAAGAGGATGACAGCCCAAGAATTATCAAATAGAAAATTAAAAGGAAGACAAAAAAAAAAAAAAGAAAAAAAAGAAAACTGAAATAGCTATACAATTATCTTTTCAAGTCACTAATAACCAGTTTGCTTAAAATATTGGAAACAATGAGAGAAACCTACCTTGAAAGAATCTTAATTTTCTTTTTTTGACAAATTCTTTTCTCAAAACCATTTGCAGTGATAAAGTATCTGTCTGTCTGAAGTATGTTTGGAGTGAACATTGTTGCACCACGAAAGACAGCAGTTTGCAAGTCAAACAATGCCTAGTTGCCTAGAGAGACAGAGAGAGAGAGAGAGAGAGAGAGAGAGAAGAAAACCTTTTTTTTTCAGTTTTCAAAATGACCTTTTCGGTGACCCTGAAAATTTTGTGAACTTCTATGGGAGTAGTTTCTAGCTAGCAGCTCAATTTAATTACAAATTAAATCAGTTCTTTCTAACACATCGTCACTTTTTCTTTTAAAAAGAAGGACCTAAAATTGATCAAAAGTTTTCTGTCTTCCTGCTTCATGAAATGCACATGTAGCTTTCTCTGCGACCCATAGCCTCACTCCTCTGCTGACTTCCTGGTGTCAGTCATTCTTGCTACAAGTTTTTCTTCATGCCTCCCCCACCCTTGCTCTCCAAGCTTAATAGTGAGAAGCTGACCTCTGCTTCTTCTTGCTGAAATCACTTTAAAATTCCCATTGCCATCACCTTGACACCTGAACTCAGTACTTCACAAGACTATTCAAATAGTTTCTTAGGCGGTTTGTCTTGTTCCTGTTTCTGACCTCTCTCGTATTTTCTAGCATGTCTTATTCTTCTTTACCTAACTCATTTAAATACACAAGCTGCTTCAACATTTCTCCAAAATGCAAAACAATTACTTTCATATTCTGTATTATGTCCTTCTGTCTGACTCTGCCCTAAACTGTACCCTCACTGACTCATTCAGCTGAGTGCTGTGGGTACTAGCTGCCCCGAGGCCTGGCTGGGAGCTTGGCAAGCACATTCTAATGAAGTTCTGGCTTCAACAAAAAAATGACATTTGGTGCGGACAAGTTCATAAAATAAAGCTTCTCAAAAGCTGGCATCTGTGGCTGTCAGAGTTTTCTCAATACCAAGGGTAGCTTTTTCTGCAATCACTAGTTCACTTATTTCCTCCATGAAACTTCTTCAACCACTCTGCCCTTTTTCATCCTCCTATTATTTCATCTAGAATCTTTGCTTATGATAATCAGGATCATTTTTATTAACTGAAGGTAACTTTACCCCACAGCCCAGCATGGGCTATCTAGCAGCACTTGTAAGACATCTTCAGTACTCATAACAACAAGGACTGCTGTTGGCCCTCAATGGGTAGAGGCCAAGATGCTGCTGTCTAAACACATGAGATGGTCAGTGCAATGTATACTTTCTAGCCCCAAATATCAATTGTACCAAGTCACCTATGACTATAAACTTTCCTTTTGATGAAATTAATGAAGTCAAAACTTTACTTTTCTTTTTTTTTTTTTATATTAATTATAGTTTATTCACTTTGTATTCAAGCTGTAGCCCCTCCCTCATTCCTTCCCAATACCACCCTCCCTCCCTCATCTCCTCCCATGCTCCTCTCTAAGTCCACTGATAGGGGAGGTTCTCCTCCCCTTCCATCTGACCCTAGCCTATCAGGTCTCATCAGGACTTGCTGCATTGTCTTCCTCTGTGGCCTGGTAAGGCTGCTCTTTCCTCAGGGGGAGGTGATCAAGAGCCAGCCACTGAGTTCATGTCAGTGACAGTTCTTGCTCCTCTTACTAGGGTACCTACTTGGATACTGAGCTGCCAAGGACTACATCTGTGCAGGGGTTCTAGGTTATCTCCATGCATGGTCCTTGGTTAGAGTATCAGTCTCAGAATAGACTGCTGGGCCCAGATTTTTTGGTTCTGTTGCTCTCCTTGTGGAGCTCCTGTCCCCTCCAGGTATTTTTATCTCTCCCTTCTTTCATAAGATTCCCTGCACTCTTCCCAAAGTTTGGCTATGAGTCTCAGCATCTGCTTTGATACCCAGCTGGGTAGAGTCTTTCAGAGGCTTCTGTGGTAGGCTCCTATCCTATTTCCTGTTTTCTCCCTCTTCCAATGTCTGTCCCATTTGCCTTTCTGAGTGACTATTGATCATCTTACCCAGGGTCCTCCTTCTTGCTTAGCTTCTTTAGTTGTACAGATTTTAGTATGTTAATCCCATATTATATGTCTAATATCCACTTATAAATGAGTATATACTCATTATGTGAGTCTTTCTGCTTCTGGGATACTTCACTCAGGATGATCTTTTCTAGTTCCCACCATTTGCCTGCAAATTTCATGATTTCCTTGTTTTTAATTGCTGAGTAGTATTCCATTGTGTAAATGTACCACAAATACCTGACTGTGAAGTGTTGAGTGGTATCCATCTAAAAATAGCTCAACACTAAGTCCCTGGAACAAACGGATGTTACCTTATTTGGAAAAAAGAGAATTCACAGATGTAGTCAAAGGTCTTCAAGAGAAGATGTCATCTTAGATTCTCCAGGAAGAGCCTAAATCCAACAACAGTCCTACTAAGATAACAGAGGAAAGACCCAGAGAGGGCAGATACCCAGAGAAAGCACAGACAGATTGGAACCAGGCAGCCACAGTGAGTCACAGAACAGGAGATGAAAGGACAGAGGCAACGATTAAGGTGATATGGCCAAAAGCCAGGGAAGAGGAAGACTGCTCAAGTCACCAGAAATTGTGAGAGATAAAGAGGAAGTGTCTGATCTGGAGCCTTTGGAGAGAATTCAGCCTTTGGGTGTCTTGACTTTAGATTTCTGTGTTCAGAACTGTGGGAAATGCCATTTCTGTTATTCTGAGCTGTGAAGTTAGTGTGCCATTGTTATGCAGGTGTCAGGGAACCAACATACTTAGGAAGTGCAGAGCCTCAGCCATAACTCCTTTACAAATGCTTTGTATATTGCGAGAAAACTGCCGTGCTGCTTTGTAGAAGTTTGAATATGCCTTTTGACAAAACTTAAATTGGCATTCCTATAGTGCATTGCAACTTCTTTTGATGTCATAGGATATTGTGAAACTCCTGGAGAAAGCCTCTTTGCATTGACCTAAGCAGTCATTAATTTATTTCAAATGCACTCCAAATAGATAGACTGTAATGGACACTTCAAATGCCCTATTAAACATATTCTCCATAAAATATTGCAGTTGAGAGACTGGCTCAGAATAATGCAGCTTGCAGCAGCATCCGCTTTAATCTCTAGATGGCACCATGTTATAAGGAATCAAACTGCGGCCTGATTACAATTTTCATATAACATGCTGGCAACGAAGAACTCTTTCTTGAAAAAAAAAAAAAGTTCAGGAATTAGGTACAGTTGTGATGAAAGCTTTATTTCACTAAATATGGGTAGGTGTCTAATTGTTGCAAGACTATAGATAGAGGAGTCAATAGAGAAATTTAGTCTCCAAAACATTCTAGTCCACAGGAAAGAGAGCATCAGTCAAATTCATCTTTGAGTTATTTTGCATAAATGTTGGAGAATATATAAAAACAAATGTGTCATCATCAGGATTTCCCAATGAGATTGCACATTTGCCTTCTGAGTTTATTTCTGACAGTCATAACTAAAGGCTAATAGTTGACTGCTTGCATTTGCTTTGAATATAAGCAAGACTGAAAATTTTTCATGATTTTCATTAGTAAAACTTCAATTTCAGTCCCAGCAGAAAAGAGACAAATATGCTTGTGTCATATCTTCCTTAATTCACCTTTTTATTTTTTAAACATTCTTCTCCTCTTTTAGCCTGGTGTCTCCAGTGGTTAGACTGGAAGACCTGAAATTTTCTTTTAAAGTTTTGAAGACCTTAGTTAGCCAGCTGAAAATCTGCATGTCTTCCTTCTCCACTTTCACAGAATTTGGACCACTCCTTATATACATTTTCAGTTTATGTTTTGTATTCTATTTATTTGCATATAGATATTTTCTTCTTCACAATATCACACACCCTTGTATGTGCAGCAGAAGTTCCAGCTTGCTTACCTTTATGTATATGGAGGCATTTATACTAAATTTGAAATGATATGGAGAAGATTAGCAGGGCCCTTGGACAAGAATGGCATACAGATTTATGAAAAATTACCTATTTAAAAAAATTATAGACATACACAAAAATTTAAAAGGGCAATATAATAAAGGTTCCACATAGGATTTGAGGGTATGAAATTGAATTGTGATATGAATGAAGAAGAGTATGTATCTGTCTGATGCAAGACATTTCATAGAGAGGGTAGTAATATAAAGTGAAGAAGTAGAAGCTTGGCTGCTGTGTTTCAAGAATACAAGTAAGGCTAGAGTGGGTGAGTGACAGAAACTAGCTGGTTTGGCTGTGGAAGAAATTTTACTTAGGTAATTAAGGATCTTGTAATACCTGGCAATGTCTCTGAATGTTGGTGGAGGAAGAAAGTCCTTGTCCTGGAGCAATAGTGATGGAGGAAGGAAAAGTGGTCATTGTGGCCAGTCCTTGAGTTAGGGTTTTCAGAGTGTGGTCATGAGATTCCTGTAAAGAATAAAAGGTCAATTAAAAAAAAAAAAAAAAGACTCAAGGCACTTTTGTTAGGTCACCTGGAAAAAAATGGAGTAGTGCTCATTGAGATGATTAATAAATGAAAATAAAATGTAGACATGGACACAGGGAAGCTTTCTTTTCGAGATGATAAGGATGTAAGCATGTATGCATGCTAACAGAAATGATGGCGGGAACTGAAAGAACAGAAAAGAGGACAGAGGTGTGTGCATTTACTGGGTGTGCAGGCTGTGGTGTCATACAAGGGCTGCCTCAGGAAGATCACCCTGTGCCCAAGGAAGAAACACAAAGGGTTACAGATCCAGCAGGGAGGGCTAGGTTCTTTGAGTATGTGCCCAGTAGTGGCATAGATCCTACTATTGACGATACTATGTAAGTGCTTCACATGCCATGCAGAAACAGGCTGACTGAGAAGCATCATCCCTCTTGGTATAAAATGGAAGTCTCTGGACTCAGGTTGGTCTTGGGATGTTTTGCCTCAAGCTGTGCATGTGATGTTTTGTCCAGGTTGGCTTATGAGAGGGCATGTGATATTTTGCTCTCTCAGGTGAGAGCTGTGACTTTGGCCAGCTGAGAACATCTGTAGGTAGACTTTGAGGAGAGGAGATATGGCAGAGTGAGACATTGCTTTTTGGATAGACATTGTTGCATCATGCTTCGACACCTTGCTTCACAGAGTGAAACATTCCAGAGAACTTCTCCAGGTAATCCAACTGAGTCTTTCAGCTTTAGTTGCTTCGTGTTGGCCTTTGGACTGGACTGCTGGTATCCTGACAACTGAGTCTGGTAATCACCTCATGACCCACTGACCCTGATCAGCAGGAAATAGATAAAGAGAACTGCAGCCCTTTTCCCTATTAATCTCCTACGTAAGGTTGCAGGGGTTTGGAAGGGAGGTAAAGGTGCTTAAGAACCCTAAATAAAGTAGGTTTGGAGAAAAATCTAAGCCTACATTGTGTAGCTTTCATGCTATCAAAAGGTTCTATGTATTCCACTACAGGAGAAAAGTAATCAGTGCTAATACCCCATTATGAATCATGCAAGGTACAATAACCACTGGCCTGATAAAAATATACTCATTGGAGCAATCATGGCAACGGTGTTTTGCGAGTAATCAACGGCTTAGATTTAAGGTGCACTCTACAAGACAGAACACAGATTGATATTGCTAATGGGCCCAGAACCCATGACTGGGTAGATCATAGGTTCTCTGAGAGAACTTATTACTATTTTTCTACTAATTGGATATAGTGGTAAACGTCTCTCTAAAGCCTTAGCTTTATAAGTTAATAGAGCTCTCTACCCTTTCAGAGAAGCTCATTTTTTGCAGGAGATGATGATCAATACCTAGACTCCCCACATGGTCAAAATTTGGAGAATAAGAAACTATAGCATGTTCTGAACCAAATGGGACTCACACATCACATCTCCTATGGCTTAGTGCTCAGGAATCATGGAAAATGGTGCAGAAACACTGTAAGAGCCAGAGGTATTAGACTGTTTTACAGATGTGACAGGATCACTGGCCATATAAACTCATAGTGGCTTTGACTGTATGTACAAGACATGAGAAGATCAAGCTCCCCAAGTTCCAGTGTGGATGGGTGAGGACTCATGATATCCCATATCTATCTAAGGAGTTGACAATTGATGGCTGCTGGAGGAGGGGGAGGCATTTTCTTTGGATGCAGCCCTGAGAGCCTGCCCATGTTTTGGTGGATGGTCTTATGTGTACAAACTGGCAGTGATGAATGGACTAAGTTGGTTAAAAAAAAAAAAAGGAGAGAAAGTGTGCATAGGCACATGAAGTTGAGAAGAAAGGGGTAGATTTGACTGAAGATTATACTCGTGTATGGAATTCTCAAGCAGCAAATATTTTAAAGAAATGGTGGGTCTGAAGCTGGGACAAGTAGACACTTCCTTTTTTCTGTTTCTGTGTTCACCAGTGAATCAGCAAATCTGGAATGTTTGTGAGCTTTTTGTGGGGGAGAGTACATAAAGATGAAGAATAACTATTAGCCTGATGCTTTGCATTATCTGAAGTCAAAAAGACAGGGAATGAAACTCTGTGACTCCCCCCCCCACTTTAGTAACAGTACAATTCTGAAAAAATTAGTTAAATTACTGAGTCTCATTTCAAAGAAAAGAAAAAATATTCATTACTTATGAGATAGGCAGTTATACATTTTATTTAATCTTTATAACATGTATTTAAGATAAATATGTGGTGAAGTTAATTTGAAGAACTGTAGAAATCTTGATTGAAATTACACATGAAGTTATGGCTGAACTGGAAGAGTGCCAGGAGAGGTTAAAGCTAGAACCCGTGGTTTGAAACACTGACACTAAATTAACTCATTGATAAATAACAGGGAAGTGCCAGACATTGGAAGAAATACCGGGAATATCTAGAACTGCTCTGGGTTCCACCAACTACTTCATGAAGATCACTGGTTTGGAGAGAAATCAACTGCTTTAGATTTAGGGTCCAGTCCACAGGACAAAACTCATGCCTGGTATTGTTCATGGGCCTAGAAGTCATGGTTGGGTTGATCATAGGTCCTCTGGCAGAAACTATTGTTATTATTCTGCTAACTGGACACTGTAGTATATCGCTCTCTAAATACTTTTCTTTTTAATTTGGCAGAATTCTAACATGGCCTTTAATATTCATACTCTGGTATAGATGCGCTGTCTCTTTTCTGGGATTATGAAGTATTTATTATCCATGGCTTCATTTTATGTTGTCTTAACAGCCCATGGTCAACAACTATTGATCAGAAAATTCCAGAAATAAAAAACCCAAAGCTTTTCAATTATTTCTCATTCTGAGTAGTATGACTAATCCTTGCACCGTTCTGCTCGATCTTGCCTTGCAGCACATTGTAATTTTGTCTTCTAATCACCCAGTTTCTATCCCTTGGCCATTTCTTGGCATTATCATCAGACTCTCCTTTTTTTTTAATGCTTTATTAATTACACTTTATTCACTTTGTATCCCCCCTGTAGCTCCTTCCCTCCTCCCGTTCCTATCCCTCCCTTTCTCTCCCTTCTGTATGCATGCCCCTCCCCAAGTCCACTGATAGGGGAGGTCTTCTTTTCCTTCCTTCTGATTCTAGTCTGTTAGGCCTCATCAGGCAGACTCTCCTTTTTAATACCACCTCCTTGCTCTCACTTCCTTCCCCAGAAGCAGTCTTTTGGTCTTGCTCATTTTATGCATGAAGAAACTGAAGTGTAGAGTGAGCTGTTACTCAGTCACTAGAGCTATTTCCCAGCATCCAGGAAGTCCCCCCAAAGCATGGAAGAGTAGTTATAGTGATCCGTGTGTGGAAGGCCGGCACTCAGGAGGTACAGGCAACAGGATCAGAAGTTTAAGATTCCCCTGAGCCATATAAAAAGAAACACACATGCACATACACACAGAGACAGAGAGACAGAGACAGAGACAGAAACAGAGACATAGGGGGCAAGGAGAGAGACAGAGTGAGGAAGGAAGAATTCTCATAGAGGCAGAATTTCTTTTCCTTTTGGATATTAGAGTAATTGTGAGGCAGAAGCCTAGAGCAAGGCCTCTTGATTCATTCAGCTCAGGAATTTTTGCACTGGCCTGTTCAGAGTTCTCAATAGAACTCTGGAGCGCTTCTCCGTTTTGAACCTTACCTCTCCATCTTTGCTGCTGTTACTCCGTGTGCTGTATCATCTACTACAGGTAAACCTAGTCCCTCTTCCCTAAAAATGGGTCAGGTTCGTTTCCTTCCTCGTGGATGGTTCTCTTCTCTCTGGTCTTTACAGGTGTGCTGTTTGCATTTGCTAGTCTGCCCCTACAAACCTCTCATTTCCCTGAACTTCCTTAGCTGTCAGTTTTTGCAGCAACCCCTCAAAATACACTAATCTTGGCTGTCAACCCGACACACCTGGGAGAGACCTTCAGCTGAAGAATTGCCTCCATCTGTTGGCCTGTGCGCATGTGTGCAGGGAATTTTCCCGTTTGCTAATTGATGTAGGAGGGCCCAGCTCTCGGAGGTCAGTGCCAGCCTGGGCAGGTGGCTCTGCGCTCTGTAAGAACTGTAGCAGAGTGGGAGCCTGAGAACGTCCACAGACAGCGTTCCTCTGTGACTCTTGCTTTAGACTCCTGCCTTGAGTTTCTGCCTTGGATATCTTGGTGGTATGCTGCAGCCTGTAAGAGGAATTAAACCCTTTCCTCCCAAGTTACTTTTTGTCGGTGTTTATTACAGCACCAGAAAGCTGGGACAGGGACAATCCTCCTTGTTAGGCTATTAATGCTTCCTGGGTGTTCATTTTCTCTTTCCAGGATTTAAGCGTTCTCACCTGATCCATTCTAGATGATTACACATCCCCAAGTGATTCCTCTGGTTTCTCTTTCATTTGTACCCAGCATGCCTTGTACAGCATGAATAAATAATACACTGAGTTAAACTCATCTTAGTCTTCTACAATGTTTATATTTTAAATCAGTTGATGTATGCAGAAGGTCAGTTAGGAATTAGCCAGGGAGACAAAAGGTGAATTAACCTCTGTCTTTGTCTTCAAAAGCAGTTCATAA